AAAAAAAAAAAAAAAAAAAAAAAAAAAAAAAAAAAAAAAAAAAAAAAGAAAAAAAAAAAAGAATACTGGATTCTCAGCCATGTCTGTTGCTAATATATGGTACAGTTGAGGCAGAATATGAAACTCTTAAATGTCCAAAGGGTTTTCCTGGAGTGGTTTAAAAAAAATGTTAATAATTGGCCAGGCGCTGTGGCTCACGCCTGTAATCCTAGCACTTTGGGAGGCCAAGGTGGGTGGATCACCTGAGGTCAGGAGTTCAAGACCAGCCTGGCCATCATGGTGAAACCCCACATTAAAAAAAAAAAAAAAAAAAGTTAATAGATAGCCCTCCTGCACTATGTCAAGTATGGAGAGTATACCACAAATGGAAAAAAAACCTGAAAGACTTTAAGAAATAGTATCAGCCAGGTGTGGTGGCTCATGCCTGTAATCCCAGCACTCTGGGAGAATGAAGCAGAACTGCTTGAGGCCAGGAGTTTAAGACCAGCATGGCCAGCACAGCAAGATACCACCTATTTAAAGAAAAAAAAAGAAAGAAAGAAAGAAACATTAATTCACTTAATTTCACATGTGGTCTTTGACACAGAGCACTAGTATGCTAGAGACAGATGACTGTTCACAGACCATGCACTGATTTGTCATGACAGGCTGCCCTGGCCATTCAGTGAGCTGGAGTGCTTTCAGTGAAGCCCCTGGGAAGCTGTGTTCTACAGAAATGATGACTCCATCAGTTGATTAGGGATGATGGGAAGAAAACCAGGGAAGCTGCCAACTGGAAAACCCTTACAGGTATGTTGATTTTACTAAACACCCATGTGAGAGTTTGAGTCCTGTGATATTAGGCGATAGTATGAATTAATCAACTCCTTAGCCATCTCATTTTCTTTTTTTTAAAAGTATCATTATTATTTTCTGAGACAGAGTCTTGCTCTGTCGCCCAGGCTGGAGTGCAGTGGCACGATCTCGGCTCACTGCAACGTCCACTTCCTGGGTTCATGTGATTCTCCTGCCTCAGGCTCCCAAGTAGTTGGGATTACAGGCACGTGCCACCACACCCAACTAATTTTTAAAATATTTTTAGTAGAGACAGGGTTTCACCATGTTAGCCAGGATGGTCTCCATCTCCTGACCTCGTGATCCACCCACCTCGGCCTCCCAAAGTGCTGAGCTTACAGGCATCAGCCACCGCACCCGGCCAGTCTTCTCATTTCTAATTCAACGAATCTCTTTCTTTGGGGGTTGTGATCAACAACTACAAAAATATCTGAAAACACACAAAGCTAACATTTTAGGACCATGGGTGACAAGTGACTAGATTTTTTTTTTTTTTTGGAAATGGAGTCTTGCTCTGTTGCCCAGGCTGGAGTGCAATAGTGCCATCTTGGCTCACTGCAATATCTGCCTCCCAGGTTCAAGCAATTCTGCTTGAGCCTCCCGAGTAGATGTTATTACAGGCGCTCGCCACCACACCAGCTAATTTTTGTATTTTTAGTAGAGACAAGGTTTCACCATGTTGGCTAGGCTGGTCTCGAACTCCTGAACTTAGGTGATCTGCCTACCTCAGCCTCCCAAAGTGCTAGGATTACAGACGTGAGCCACTACACCAAGCCCCAAAATTTAATTAAATTAACTTTTAACTTTTCTCCTTAGGAGTGCAATGAGAAAAAAAAATAATAAGGGTAAGAAATACTGAGTCAGGCTGGGTGCAGTGGCTCATGCCTGTAATCCCAACACCCTGGAAGGCCGAGGCGGGCAGATCATCTGAGGTCAGGAGTTTGAGACCAGCCTGACCAACATGGTGAAACCCCATCTCTCCTAAAGATGCAAAAATTAGGCTGAGTGCAGCAGCTCACACCTGTAATCCCAGAACTTTGGGAGGCCAAGGTGGGTGAAGCATGAGGTCAGGAGTTTGAGACCATCCTGGCCAACATGTTGAAACCCCGTTGCTACCAAAAATATAAAAAGTAGCCAGGTGTGGTGGCACGCACCTGTAATCCCAGCTTCTCGCGGGGTTGAGACAGGAGAATTGTTTGAACCTGGGAGGCGGAGGTTGCAGTGAGCCAAGATTCTGCCACTGCACTCCAGCCTGGGCTCAACAGAGTGAGATTCCATCTCAAAAAGAACAAAACAAACAAACAAACAAACAAAAAAAAAAACGCCAGGCATGGTGGCTCACGTCTGTAATCCCAGCTACTTGGGAAGCTGAAGCAGAAGTGCTTGAACCCAGGAGACGGAGGTTGTAGTGAGCCAAGATTGCACCACTGCACTTCACCGTTGGCAACAAGAGGGAAACTCCATCTCAAAAAAAAATAATAATAATAAAGAAAAGAAAGAAAGAAAGAAACATTGAGTCAGACCACCTAGGTTCTAGTCCTGGATCAGTCACTTATTAGCCATGTGACCTTGTGCCCACCAAGTTGCTTAACATCTCTAAGCTTTAGCATCCTCACCTGTATCACACAGAACTTTTGGAAAACAATGTTCAGCGGAGTACCTGGCATATATTAAGAGCTTCAGAAATATTAGTGCCATTTTTATTATTTTCTGGTTGTGAGAACTGAGGAAAATGGTAAGCAAAAGGAACAAAGGAATCAAGACTAAGGAGATTATACAATGCGGCACCATAAGAACTTGCAAATTAGTCCTCTGATAGCAATGTCCACAGACATCATCCCTGTCTCCTGGTTATTCTTGTGGCTTTGAAAAATTATAAATGAGAACACCTAGCTTAGTTTACCTGTCTAATTCCCTTATAAATTATGAATGTTTCAGGAAGAGAACAGTAACAAGGGTTGCTTGGGTTGTAGGAAGGTTTCTACATAGGAAAAAGCCTTGGCCACTTAATCTACATGATGATCTGTAAGTCTGAGAGCCTGGATCATGTCACTAGACTGCTTTGTGTTCCTTGGAAACTAGTGCTGAAAACGTGAGCTAGATTCCATCTCAAATATCCTCAGAACATTCATGTATAATGTGAAGTAGGGGAAGTGACATCTAAATTAAGTCTCAAGGACAGAATGAGGCACAAGGATCTAAAGGTATCAGTTCACACACCACATTCAGAAGTCAGACAGCAATTAACATTTATTAAGCATTCTCTGGTTGCAATCTTACGCCAGATAAGAACTCTAGCTATAACCATGCAAAAATTCAAGAAAATGCGATCTTAAATGGACCCTGTAGCTAGTTTAGATACTATTTGTAACTTTTCTTCACTGCTGTTAGTTTATCATGGTTTCACTGCTTACATACCAGAATTACCAAATACCTACCATGTACTAGACACCCTACAGGGATACCTCTGGATGATTTACAGGGGCAGCACCACAACATATGTACCATGCTTGCACCATGTCAGACATTGCACCACGACCTAAGGAAAAGGAGAGGCAAACGGACAAACCAAAATCCTGCCTCTAATGAAGTGTAATCTAGCTAGCAGACTAGATCTGGATTTCTGGACCGCAGGATATGACTTGACAGTTGAAAGTAAATGCAAATCAGAGTTGAGGACAAGAAAAAGGTCTAAATCACTAATGGAAGTTAGGTTTTTGGCATTTCAGGACCTTTCTGATCTCCCTAAACAACAGTAGATTCGATGGTGTTCTCTTTTTTTTTTTTTTAGATGGAATTTCACTCTTGTTGCCCATACTGGAGTGCAATGGCATGATCTTGGCTCAGCTGACTGCAACCTCCACTTCCTGGGTTCAAGCTGTTCTCCTGCCTCAGCCTCCTGAGTAGCTGAGATTACAGACGTGTGCCACAATGCCCAGCTAATTCTGTATTTTCAGTAGAGGTGAGGTTTTACCCTGTTGGCCAGGGTGGTCTTAAACTTCTGACCTCAGGTGATCCACCCACTTCAGCCTGCCAAAGTGCTAGGATTGCAGGCATGAATCACTGTGCCCTGCCCAATGGTGTAGTCTTATGTGGGCCAATCTCACCCACTCACTGGGGGTAGGCAGGATCCAAGTGCATGAAACGAGGCACTGGGGTTGTTGCCTTCACCATGGGCACATCCCAAAAGCAATTGTAATGGGGACACTACAAGGTTTAGTAGAACAGCCTGGGCTTGCCCGAGGAACTGTAAAATGGGCATCATAACAATCATCCCTATTTAACAAAGTTATTGTGAGGAACAAGGTGTGATAACATCTGTAAAAGACCTATACTTTGCTCATGGGAATATGAAGCATTGTGTATCTTTTGCCTTGTTCTAAATTAGAATTAAATTAGGTAACTGGGTACCATCATTAACCTAGTGGGACTATACCATACTTCCTTTTGTTTTGTTTTTTGAAGAAAACAAGCTGATTCAGTTTCCCCCCTAGAAAACTCTGCTGCCAGCACTAACCTAAAGAAATGGGGTAAACCTTGCCTGTAGCACTGGTCTATAAACTCTCTCTCCTGGCTTTTGGCTCAGAGAGTTGAATAATTAAGTAGCCACTGTCGTATACAATGTCAAGGGCCAAAAAAAATCACGATGCAGGTCCACAATCATTTTTGCAATATTAAACCAAAGACATGTTACCCGCTTAAAGCTGATGTCAACTTGAATTGTCCCAAATTCAACTTTGTCACGATATATACCCAAATAGTGCTTAATGATAGATTTGAGACATTAATGAGTGGCTGTGACACAACATGCGCTGTATTGGACGAATAAACACACAGGGTCTCTGTCACCCAGGCTGGAGTGCAGTGGCATGAACATGGCTCACTGCAGCCTTGACCTCCTGGGTTCAAATGATTCACCCGCCTCAGCTTCCCGGGTAGCTGGGACCACAGGTGCATACCACCACACCCGAGTAATGAAAAATATTTTTTTTGGCCAGTCATGATGGCTCATGCCTGTAATCCCAGCTCTTGAGGAGGCTCAAGCAGGAAGATTGCTTGAGCCCAGGAGCTCGAGACCAATCCAGGCAATAAAACGAGACCCCATCTCTACAAAAAAATTAGCCAGGCTGGACATGGCGGCTCATGCCTGTAATCCCAGCACTTTAGGAGGCCGAGGCAGGCGGATCACCTGAGGTCGGGAGTTTGAGACCAGCCTGACCAACATGGAGAAACATTGTCTCTACTAAAAATACAGAAAAAAATAGCTGGGTGTGGTGACACATGCCTGTAATCTTAGCTACTTGGGAGGCTGAGGCAGGAGAATCACTTGAACCGGGAGGTGGAGATTGTGGTGAGCCAAGATTCTGCCAATGTACTCCAGCCTAGGCAACAAGGGCAAAACTCCATCTCAAAAAAAAAAAAAAAAAAAAAAAAAGAAAGAAAGAAAGAAAGAAAAAAAATTAGCTAGGTGTGGTGGTGTATGCCTGCAGTCCCAGCTACTTGGGAGGCTGAGGTGGGAGGACTGCTTGAGCCCAGGAGGTCAAGGCTGCAGTGAGCCTTGCACATGATCATGCCACTGCACCCCAGCCTGGCCATAGAGCAAGAGACCCTGTCTCAAATAAAAATTATTATTTTTTGTTGAGATGGGATCTTGCTGTATGGCCCAGACTGGTCTTGAACTCCTGGACTAAAGTCATTCTCCTGCTGTGGACTCCCAAAGTGCTGAGATTACAGGTGTGAGCCACCATCCCTAACTGGATGTCTTTTTTTTCCGAGACAGAGTCTCACTCTGTTGCCCGGACTGGAGTGCAATGGCACGATTTTCACTCACTGCAACCTCCACCTCCCGGGTTCAAGTGATTCTTCTACCTCAGCCTCCCAAGTGCTGAAGCACCAGTATACCTGCCTAATTTTTGTATTTTTAGTAGAGTCAAGGTTTCACCATGTTGGTCAGGCTGGTCTGGAACTCCTGACCTCATGATCCACCCACCTCAGCCTCCCAAAGTGCTGTGATTACAGGTGTGAGCCACCACGCCTGGCGCAGATGTCATTTCAGAGTAAGAATAATCAGAGAGAGACATAAAAAGAATAGAGAGAGGGCTCTCCAAATTGCTAGTCTAGCAAAGATTTGCTTCCCTTGCATTTTCCCCTTGATGCAAAATAACTGCCTTTTATTGGACTACACCCAGTTTGACTCACAGAACTTGACGAAATTATAACCTAGATGACTACATGAACACAGTAATCTCCACAGACCATAGGAGATTGCAGTGGATGGCAAAGTGTTACTAAATAAAAGGAGGAAAGGTCAGATGGAAAGCTGTACACTTACATCCTTCTCCTGGATGGTACACTCCTTACAATAATAGGCATCAGAGACCCCAGGGCCTCCACAGATCACACAGCGCCCCTGGTAAGATCCATAGTTACACTCATCACATATGCGCACCAGAGTGCAGGGACGCACATAGGAGTCACAAATCACACACTTGCCATCACCTGTAAGGAACAGAATGAAGTCATGCTCACTAGCAAGTTCTTCAGTCCTCTGCTATCTCCTGCCATAGGGAAATATACTAGTCTCCTGGGAAATACACTAGTCTCCTTTTGACAGTGACTTTAGGGCCCTCCTCTTGGGATCACAAAACTCGGTTTATCTAGCATCCATCTCAAGCCTCTCAACACATACAAAAGTTTATCAATTAACATATGGAAATAACTTAGAAAAGCAGTTGGGAGATGATAAGCCTATATAATTGCTGGCAAAATATTGTATGTTGGGGAGGGGTCATGCTACTCTGGCGATTCTTCCTGTTGAAAGCTAGAGATAGATACAGCTTTATATGTGCAAGTGGCAGTGGGGAGATGGAGGGGCTTTTGGTTGAGGTCCAGCATCTAGATCCAGGCACATCTACTCAAAGACCCCTTGGTGGCACTTTGGCTGGCTCCACAGAAACTGGGAGTGGGAAGGGTGGGTTGTTGGGACGGTGTATTCCACTCACATTTTTCACACAGTCTTCCGATGGCTGCAAGATCAAAGATAGTAAAAAGTACAATTAAAGGTTTTGACAAAGAGGGGAAGTACATCCTCGACCTGGGGGCAGGGACATGAACAAGGACTGTAGTGAGCCCTGCGGATAGCCATTTTATCATTACGAATTTCCACATGAAGCAAACTCACAGCCCGAGTATCCTTCTGAGTCTTTTCCAAAGTCCTGAGCAAGCTAAGTTTCTCTAGATGTGGCCCAGATCCCACCCCCGACGCCTGCCTGGGGCTCCCAGTACGCGCACCCCGCCCTCTTTACATCAGAGGCCACAAACCTGCGCGCTCCTACAACACCCCACGCCTGAGAGGCGGGAAACGTGGCGCCTGAGAGGCAAGACCCTAAGGAAGAGATGGAAACCTCCGAGCCCCCAGATCCTAACACTACCCCTACCCAGACAGCCGAGGGCAGGGCGCAGTCTCACCAACACCAGCCTGCTTGCGGCAAAAGATCAAATCAGGATGATGTTTAGCCATAGTTCCCAACGAAGCCGGCCGCCGGAAGCTTCGGGAACTTCCGTCCGACCTTTAACCCCTATGGTTCCTGCCTCCACTTCGTTGTGATTGGTCCTCTAGGCTTCCGTCAGTTTACAATCCTTGCACCAGGCCCCGCTTGCTCTCGCGAGAGTTTTGTCGCTGGGCGGTCAGGTCCTGGCAGGTGCATGAAAGTCTTAAAAACTCCCAGATTTGGATGGCAGAGATAATTAAAATTTGTTATTGATAAACATCTTTGTGCTTGGTATTTACTTCTGCAAGTGACTTTAGGCAGTTTTATTTCCTCTTTTTCCTCTTGCGCGTCGGTTCATTACACGGGAGCTCCGCCCACTGCGTTCGCACGGTTCCGGCGTCTCTAGGGAGGCCCCCGCCTTCACCGTGACGCTCCATTATTTCGGGCACGCCCCTGCCCAAAGGCTTTAAAACCGCCGTGTGGCACGTCACTTTCACGCGACCTCATCTTTGTCAGTGCACAAAATGGCGCCTTACAGCCTACTGGTGACCCGGCTGCAGGTGAGCAAGCTCAGGGACTTCTAGGTTCACGGGGGCGGGGTGCCTCCTACTGTGCCGGCGGCTGTGGGTGAGGCAGGGCGAGGCGGGCCCGACTTGGGGCCAATTTCACTTGTACTTGTCTGGGTTGTGGGCCCAGCACCCGTGCCCGCTCCTCTGGTGCCCTAGGTCAAGGCGTCCCCCACATAGTCAGCTTTCCTGGCCCTGTCCCCACCCCGTGAGAAGCGTGGGCCCACGCAGTGGCGTCCAGGTGAGGAGCTGAGGCACCTCTTTCTTCTTTTTGAGGAGAACATTCCCTGCCCCTGTGGAGTTGTCTTTCCGTTCCTCAAGGTGAGGACAAGGTGACTAGGGGGCGCGGTCGTTGTTGAGCATTCTAGGCCCAGTGCCTGAGGCCTCACATCCCATTTCTTAGCAACAGAGACATGACAGCATCTAGAGTTGCCAGGCCTGGAGTCTGGAGAAGAAACTAGGACCCTGTACCACCTTTTGAGGACTCTGCGGAACATGGAATGCCTGGGTGGTCTTCTGGGCCCCTGCGTACTAAATAATAATAATAGTTTCTCACCTTTGGACAAGATTTGAATACTTTTAATTCTTCATAACATTATTTGATTCATGTAATCGTAGGAATGAGATGGTTTTTCTTATCTGATAGGTCATGAAACTGGTAGAAAGTAGGTGAAAGTTCTGGTTCAGAGTGTCATCGAAGTGCTGTGACAGAAGCATGAGCCCTACCACCTCTCAGTTCTTGTTTATGTCACTTTGCCCTCACAGAACTTTCTGAACCCTGGTGCTATCATTTCTGTTTGTCAGAATGCAGAACGGGTGTTTTGAGCTCAAAAATTGCTTGTCAAATATGGGAGGATAGGGAGACCAGTTTGACCTTGACTTTCCTGTTAGGAGCTATCTAGAAAGCTGACTGTGACTGCCAGATGGTTTTTTCACTCCTAACTTGACAGCCCTGGGAAGGTGTTATAATCAAAGGTTCAATGTCAAATGTGTACTTTGTTAATAAAAATAAAGCGAGCAAGCCTCTGTAGACATTCTCTGTCACAGTTCACTTTGTGAATTTTTTTTGGATCAAGTGGCACAACTTTGATAATAGAATTTTACAAGTTATGTGTTGTACTCTGAGGAAACATTGTGATACTTTAAGTTATTTTTCATCACATTGCTTAAATTTTACCGTATGATTTAAAGTAAAATCATCATTTATCTGAAAATATTTCTGATCTCAATTCTGGGCAAAGGCAAGGGATTTGTACTTAATTATCTCTTCACATCTTTTTTTTTTTTTTTTTCTTTTTTGAGACAGAGTGTTGCTCTGTCGCCCAGGCTGGAGTGCAGTGGTGCAATCTTGGGTCATTGCATGGGGATAAAACTGGTGGCTATATGGGGGCACCTGATTTTCATAGACTGCCCTTTCAGGGCACTCATCCTTTCGGTGTCCTTCCTCTTTGCACATCACACATTGATTTATCTCTAGTCTGGGCTGGGTTTCAGACTCCGGTCTAGCCATACCTCTTTCTAGCCCTGTTCCACGTCCTCACCCATGCCCTCTCATTACTCCAGCTCCTGTCTTTTTTTTTTTTTTTTTTGAGATGGAGGTTTGCTCTTGTTGCCCAGGCTGAAGTGCAGTGGCACAGTCTCGGCTCACAGCTATCTCCGCCTCCTGGGTTCAAGTGATTCTCTTGCCTCAGCCTCCCAACTAGCTGGGATTACAGGCGCATGCCACCAACCTTGGCTAATTTTTGTATTTTTAGTAGAGATGGGGTTTTACCATATTGACCAGGCTGGTCACAAACTCCTGACCTCAAATAATGAGCCCATCTCAGCCTCCCAAAGTGCTGGGATTACAGGTATGAGCCACTGCACCTGGCCTCTTCATGTCTTTTGATTGTAGAGGTTAATGATGTGGAAATAGTTGTTTCTTCCTGTCCCTTGATTTAAGGGAGTCAGGCAAGATTATTTGATAAGATAAATGATTATAGATTTCTTGAACTTGGAAGAGAAAAATGATACCACACCATTTTTTAACTGAAAAGGGTATTGGAAAGTATGATTATTAGACTGGTGTAGAAGGAGATCTGGGCTATAGTTCATTCTCTTTCCAGAGCCTGTGACCTTGAGTAAGTTACTTCCTAAGTCCATTGTTTGTCAGTTGGGGATGATCTTCATTGAACAAATGTGTATTCAGCAGCTGGCTGTTAGAAAGTTATGAGCAAGGCCGGGCGCTGTGGCTCACGCCTGTAATCCCAGCACTTTGGGAGGCCAAGGCGGGCGGATCATGAGGTCAAGAGATTGAAGCTTTCTGGCTAACATGGTCAAATTCTGTCTCTACTAAAAATACAAAAATTAGCTGGGCATGGTGGCACGAGCCTGTAGTTCCAGCAACTCAGGAGGCCAAGGCAGGACAGTCACTTGAACCCGGAGACGGAGGTTGCAGTGAGCAGAGACCATGTCACTACACTCCACCCTGGTGACAAATAGAGACTCCGTCGTAAAAAAAATAAAAGAAAGTGATGAGCAAGTATAATGTGTTTATGAGCATCACGTAGACTAACCCCCTCTACAGGTGGAGAATCTAAGACCTTGAGAGCCTCAGTGACTTCCAGTAGTGGAGTTAGGATTAAAATCCTGATCTCCTTGTTTGTTCCTTTGGCTAAGATGAATGAACAATAAATGCAGTTTGCATACTGCTTCCCGATAACCAGGCTGTCTCAAGTAACCAGCTAACACAGTTTCTCTGAGAAGCTTGTAAATTTACTTCTTTTGTGCTTAGATACATTTGAGAAGTGATGGTTACTACCTTAATAGTGATGTTTGCAAAACCCTATCCCTACAGTCAAATTATTTCTACTTCATTCACCATGTATTTACTGAGTGCCCACTGCTAGTTCTGGATACTGTGGTAAGTAAAGACAGTTCCTGTTCTCATGGAGCTTCCACTATATTCTAATGTACCTGACTGCAGAGGGCCTTGGAGATCTTTCTCAGCCATATACAGAATTTTTCTTTCCTTGGCTGGACCAAAGGTGAAGGTAGATAATAGAATGATGGGTGTTACTACCAGCACTAAGAGCACCTAACATTTATCTTACTGTGTACCACTGTGAGATAAGACAGACCTATTAGCCTGATTTATAGATGAAGAAACAGTATGACAGAGCAAACGTAGCGTCATGGTTGAGAGCATGGACTCTGGTATCAGACAACTTAGATTTGAATACTGTAATAGCTCTAATACTCATGTAGCTGTCATTTTGGGTAAGTTACTCAAACTCTCTGTGCCTGTTTCATTGCCTTTGGATATGATAATAATAGTACATCTGTTTCAATCATGTGATAGTTGCAAAGTGTTTAGAACCCCACCTGGTACTTAGTAAGGGTAATATGATAAATTTGCCTAGGGCCTTATTACTAATTGTTAGTAGGTATGATTTGAATCTGCACACATCTGATTAAGAAGCCTGAGGGCTTAGCAACTAGCACTATACTGCTTCCCTTTGGCATTGAGCTCAGCCTGTTGATCAGGGCACCATAGATGATCCATAACCTGAGAATAGTACCAAGTTGAATGTGTACTATTGTTTGACTGTACCTGCTATTAGGTAGTAAGATTAGAAACAAGAAAGTAGGAGGTGAATTTTTTTTTTTTTTTGAGATGAGGTCTTGCTCTATTGCCCAGGCTGGAGTACAGTGGTGTGATCTTGACTCACTGCACCCTCCGCCTCCCAGGTTCAAGCAATTCTCCTGCCTTAGTCTCCTTGTAGCTGGGATTACAGGTGCCTGCAACCATGCCCGGCTATTTTTTCTGCTAATTTTTCACAGAGACGGGGTTTCACCATCTTGGCCAGGCTGGTCTTGAACCCCTGACTTGTGATCCATCTGTCACAGCCTCCCAAAGGGCTGAGATTGCAGGCATGAGCCACCGTGCCAGGCGTTTTTTCTTTTTTTCTTTTTTTAAGAGATGGGGTTTTCACTGTGTTGCCCAGGCTGGTCTCAAATTCCTGGGCTCAAGCAGTCCTCTCACCTTGGCTTCCCAAAGTGCTGAGATTACAGGTGTGAGTCACTGCACCCAGCCAAGGAGGTGAAATTTTTGAAAAGCCATATTTACTCTCTGGTTTTTAGCACTTATTTTTGTGCATATGACTATGAATAGTACACAAGAGGGGTTGAGCAGTTGCAAATATGTTTATTAGGTGTTTGGTTTTGCCTTGAGGTAACTGTGGTGCTGAGATTTCATGTGAACTTGAGGAGAAGTCATGTAACCTCTTGCATATAAATTTGTGATGGCAGTTAACGACAAACCCAACATATTTGGCAGAAATTTTCTGTGTCATGTTAAAATCTGGCCCTGCGCAGTGGCTCACACCTGTAATCCCAGCACTTTGGGAGGCCGAGGCGGGCGGATCACGAGGTCAAGAGATCGAGACCATCCTGGCCAACATGGTGAAACCCCGTCTCTACTTAAAAAAAAACCAAAAAAAAACACAAAAAAATTAGCTTGGCGTGGTGGTGCGTGCCTGTAGTCCCAGCTACTCAGGAGGCTGAGGCAGGAGAATTGCTTGAACCTGGGAGGTGGAGGTTGCAGTGAGCCGAGGTCGCGCCACTGCACTCCAGCCTGGCACCTGGTGACGGAGTGAGACTCTGTCTCAAAAAAAAAAAAAAAAAAAAAAAAAAAATTAAAATCTTGGTTTGAATTGTGAAACAGATCATCCTGATTGTATGGTCACTATGAGTACCTTCCCAGGCATCAGTTGTTGATTAGAATTGAGTGAATGAATACATTGGTAAACAAGCTTCCATCTCAGATGTGGACAAGGGAACAGACACCATTCTGAGGATTAGGGGAGCATAGCATTGCATTTCAGACCAACTGTTCATTGAAAACTTTGGCCGGGTGTGGTGGCTCATGCCTATAATTTCAGCACTTTGGGAGGCTGAGGTGGGTGGATCACCTGAGGTCAGGAATTCAAACCAGCCTGGCCAACATGGTGAAACCCCATCTCTATTAAAAATACAGAATAAGCTGAGCAGGGTGACACGTGCCTGTAATCGCAGCCACTCAGGAGGCTGAGGCAGGAGAATCACTTGAACCCAAGAGGCAGATGTGGTAGTGAGCTGAGATCGAGCCATTAATCTCCAGCCTGGACAACAAGAGTAAAACTCTGTCTCAAAAAACAAAAAAAATCTTAATGCCTAGCACTGTTCTAGATATGAGGGATGCAGTAGTGAGCAAGAATAGTGGGGCTTGTAGTCCTGGGGAAAATAAGTAGAAAAATAAGAATACTATAGTTACTGAGTGTTGTGGGGAAGATAAGGTAGAGATAACAGAGGTGGGAACGTGGCATGGCTTTAACTGGGGTGTTTGGGGAAGACCTTATAGAAGAGGTGACATTTGAACTGAGACTTAAATGATACGAATGCAGCTGTTTAGCATTTTTGGAGGAGACTTCAAATAGAAGGAGTATGCGCAGAGCACCTAGGTGTGAGCTGAGTGTGTTGAGGATAAGAGCTAAGGCCAGTGTTGCTACTGTGTCCTCAGGAGCAGAAGGTCTCAGCAAGAGGCAGGGGCTAGGGTCAGGGAGGCTTTGGGAAGGAAATCCAAGTGTAGTGAAAATCCACTGGAAGATTTTAAGCTAGGGAGTGACATGATCTGATCATTTGGGTTGCTATGTGCATGATGACCATAGAGGTTCAAAAAAAGGGGGCCGGGCGCAGTGGCTCACGCCTGTAATCCCAGCACTTTGGGAGGCCGAGGCGGGTGGATCACGAGGTCAAGAGATCAAGACCATCCTGGTCAACATAGTGAAACCCCGTCTCTACTAAAAATACAAAAAATCAGCTGGGCATGGTGGCGCATGCCTGTAATCCCAGCTACTCAGGAGGCTGAGGCAGGAGAATTGCCTGAACCCAGGAGGCGGAGGTTGCAGTGAGCCGAGATCGCGCCATTGCACTCCAGCCTGGGCAATAAGAGCGAAACTCCATCTCAAAAAAAAAAAAAAAAAAAAAAAAAGGAGTCCGGGAGACCAGTGGGGGACTGCT